AATATATCAAAATATAAATATATTTGTATTTATATTTATATATTTTATATTTATATATTTACACGGATAAATATAAATATAATTTATTTGTAAGTTATTATCAAAATATCCTAATAGCTTAGTGGTTGGAGTATCAAAATACATACAAATTATAATTTTTTTTAAATAATAATTATTTTAATTTATTAAATATAATTTAAGTAAAACTATTACATATAACTTTCATTTTATAATTATATATTTCTTATTTTATATATGAATAATGATTATTAAAAAAATATATTAATAGAATTATTTTATATTATTTATACTTGTACTTATTGTTATGGTAAATTTAAAGAAATAATAAATTTTGATAGTTTTGTGTGGCCCAGTTTTGATTCTACAGTTCATTTTTGTTTTTATTTTTCAAACCTGACAAGCTAGAGAATGAATAATGTAATTTAGATTTTAATGTTGATATTTTTTATAAATAAAAAATCTTAACAACTGATAAACTAAATCACAGTTGAAGACATGGTGTACATAATGTCACCTGACAAGGTCAATAACATGAAATTGATCTCAAAATAAATTACTGTGCTGAAGAAAGCTAATATGAGGAAATTTTTGAAATTTATAAAAACATTAATTAATATTACTAATATTTTAAAAATTATATAGGTTTTTAATTCAATTCGTTAAACTGAATTCAATAAAATAATATTTATATAATATAATATAATAAATTACAAAAATAATATTTTTTTATAAAAAAAGAATACAAATTATTATTATAATAATCTTTTTTAATAATAAATATTATAAATATAAAATTTATAAAAGAATATAAGATGAATATTTATTAAAATAAAATAAAAATATAATAAAATAATTATTATTTAAAATCGATATAATTAATATGAGATAACAAAATAAAATAAAATATATTATATTTTTATAAAAAATTATATTAAAAATATTGATTTAATTAATTTTATTTTATCAAAACTGGTTTAACTTAAAAGTTTAGTTGATTTTTTTTATTTTATTGGTTTTATTCCAATTTTATCTCAATTTAATTAAAATTTGATTATTAAAAAATAATAGATCGATTTTTGATTGATTTTTTATTAGACTAATTGAATGGATATATCTAATCCAATTTTCAAAACAATGATTTTATTTTTTTAAATTTTAAAACAAATCAAATTTTTTAATTATATTATACAATTTTTTTTAAGACGAGTTAAAGATTTCATTAATAAGAGTAATTTAAAACTAAAATATAGGTATCCAATCACATGGTAAAGACATGATATTAAAATTGCTTGATGATATCTCCAATAACCTTTCTATTATAATAATAATAATAATAATAATATATAATAATAATAATAATAATAATAATAATAAATTCATTACTAATATATTATAACATTGTATATTTTTATATCAATATTTTTTTATTATATTATATCATTTTTAGTATATAATAATTTTAATAATATATTTAGAAATGAAATATAGGAAATATTATTTATTATAAAAAATAATAATTTAACTAAGTAATATGTAATCTTTTTCTCAAGTTTACTTTGTCTTTGTAATGTTCACAACTTAACTTTTTTTTTTTCATCACCATATGTTTTCACCGCTTTCCTTTGAGGTGGGTGCGTAATCATTCACTCCAAACATGTTGTACGTTAATTCTTTAATTTTTTTTATATAGTTCCAATCATAGGATTCACTCCAAACATGTTGTATGTTAATCATTCTTTAATCTTATTTACATAACTTTGTTCTCATCTAGGCTCTTCTACAAAATATTTTTTTATCTTCAAGAGCTCCACTCAAATACTACACTCACTGGAGTGTGATGATGTAAGACAATGATGAACCGTTCACAAGTCACATCACAAAAATATTCTCATAAAGAAAAAATATATTAGTAGGGGTTAAAAAAAAAAAAAATCTTGGTAGGGGTTAACACTACTTGTTAAATCCTAATATGTTTAGATTTGAATAAAATGTTGATATCATGTTAGTCATTAAACACAATTGCGTACATATACAAGAGTGAAAGAGTTTTATTGATAAAATATAAAAACTAAGGAAAAAATAATAATACATTTGGACTTGTGATTTAATCAACTATGTTATTTAATCATTCTTCAACTTTCTTTACACAATTGTGTTTTCACCCAAGCTCTTCTACACACATTCTTAATCTTCAAAAACTCTCCTCAACTATGAAGTGAAGTGATGGTGAAAGAAAATGAAGAATCATTCACAAGTTATAGTTCTCGCATAAAATATTATTAAAAATTAAGAAAATCTTGATAGGTATCAACAATAGTTGTTTAATCCTTGTATGTTCAAATTTGAGTAAAATCTTAATACCTTGTTAACCATTACATACATATATAAGAATGAAAGGGTTTTATAGATAGAATATAAAGATTATAAAAAAAATGTTATATATAGATTTGTGAGAAAAAACAAACATATTAGTTAAGGACTAATTATCTAAAGGAATACCAAAAACTTTTATCCTTTTATCCATTGGATAAATTGATAATTTTTCATACTTTTTTATTTCATATTATCAAAGAAATTATAAAAAAAATAGATGATTAATATTGATGAAATTGATATAATAATAAAATTCTAAAACTAACTATTTATATAATATAACTTGATATTATATATTTTTATATATAAAAATAAAAATATAATATATTTAAACATTATTAATAATAGTAATATTGAATATTCCTTGTTTAAGGAAAATGTGGAACGAACAATAAAAAAATTAATATGAATCAAAATACTAATTAATCACACTTAATTTATTTTTATTTTTAATATATTATCAACAATAAATTTTACATTATTTTTTAAAATAATAATTACTTTAATTTATTAAATATAATTTAAGTAAAGCGGTTGCATATAACTTTTATTTTATAATTATATATTTATTATTTTATATATGAAGAATGATTACAGAAAAAATATATTAATAGAATTATTTTATATTGTCTGTGCTGTACACTTATTAGTTTGTAGGTGATAAGTTAAATAAATAATAAGTTTTGATGTTTTGTGAAGAATTCATTTAAATACTTTCTTAATCATTTTTGTTTCTAATATGAAAAATCATATGTAAATTTCTAAGTTTTCTTGTAGAAATTTAAATGAAAGAGAAAATAGGGTTTTCTTTGTATATTTATTTTCTTATTCGGTGGTTAAAATCAATTATATTTTTCGTTCTCTCCTAACTAATATTTTGACTTCATGTGACAACTAACTACTTAAACTTAATTCTTATTATTTTATATAATACTTTTTTTATGATTATGATTTTATATAATACTTTTTTTATGATTTTATATAATTTGTACAAAATTTTATACGATGATATGTTATAATTTTATTTCATCTGAATAGTACAAAATTTTATTGTACAAAGTTTTATTATATAAAATTATAAAAAAATATTATATAAAATTATAAAAATTAATTGATTCTGTCATTAAATTTGAAAAGTTAGTTGGCCACAAGACTATCAAAACACCAATACATATTAAGAGGAGGAAAAACATATTTGATTTTAACCTCACAATAAAAAACATAAACATAGAAAGGAACCCTATTTTCTCTCTCATTTTATTCTTTTAAGAAAACTTGAAAATTACGTATGATTTTTTTATACCGAAAACAATATATAATTAAGAAAGTATTTAAATGACTTCTTCACACAACTATCAAAACTTATTATTTTTTTTAACTTGTCACCACAACATGTACAAACTAATAATTGTACAGCACAGACAATATAAAATAATTCTATTAGTATATATTTTAGTAATCATTTTTCATATGTAAAATAAGAAATATATAATTATAAAATAAGAGTTATATGCTATAGTTTTACTTAAATTATATTTAATAAATTAAAATAATTATTATTTTTAAAAAAATAATGTAAAAGTTATTGTTGATAATATATTAAAAATAAAAATAAATTAAATGTGATTAATTACTATTTTGATTCATATTACATTTTTTTTACTGTTCTTTCCACATTTTTCTTAAATAAGTAATATTCAATAATACTAATATTATTAGTTTTTAAATATATTATAATTTTATTATATATATATATATTTATAATATAATATAATATCAAGTTATATGATAGAAATTATTAGAATTACAATTTTAATTTGAAATATGGGTGAAAGGACATATTTTTATGAGATGATAAAGTTATATGATTTATATTGTATCATGAAAATAATTATTGATATTATTATTATTATTATTATATTAAGAAGAAAGTAACAGAAGGAAATGCAATAACTTCGATGGATGTAAAGATGAAACATAAAAATGATTAAGAAATTTCGTTCTCATCTGTCTCCGTCATATTTGGTTTTCTGCCCTTCTACATAGCAATTCATTGAACTTGACCGCCCCGCCATAGAAATAACGAAAATTAAAATAAATAAATAAATAATAATTTTGCATCCAATTTAATTTAATTAAAGCAACTTGCTGCTGCTCTTTTCTTTCTATCTGCTTCCTTCCTCTCAATTGTTCCATTCCATTCCATGTGAGTTTTGTTTTCATCTCTGTCTCTGCATTTGCACATACACATTCACTATACAAATTCCATTACTGTTTTTGTATGCTTAATTTCTTGCTCTCCTTCTCCTCCCAACTGTTCTTCAATTCATTCATACCCATCCTCAGTTATTGCAAATTATCTTTCATTTTCTTCAATTCAATCTAAGTAAGTGCTTCTTTGGGGCTCTGGAGTTATTCAATTCACATATCTCGTCTTATTGGGACTGTTAGTGTCGGATCATTAAATTTTTTAGTTGGCCCACAATGGCTGGTCTTACTGGGCTGTATGTGAAGATGCCATTTAAATACTTTCTGAATTCCAACTTGGATAATCATAACCAATTTTAAACTTTTCTTACAGAAAAAGAGGAAAGTAGGCAAGTGAGATGACATTCTCAGCTGCCTCACGACTAGCCAATCTTCGGCGACACTTGGATTTCACCGAAACTGTCAACAAGGTACTGATAATGGTCTTCTCTCCTAATCATCCATAGCATTTACTTCAATCTAAGTATTTATTCCCTTTCTCAACCCTTGTAGTCATTTGTGTATAATTCTGGTGGAACATTATTCATTAGGAAATTGTAAAATGAATTTTGATATAGGCTGAACATTCAATCAAGGTGAAGGTAGCCGCAGAGGTTTCTGAAGCATTATCACTGGGGCGTGCGGTTGTTGCTCTAGAATCTACCATCATTTCGCATGGTTTGTAATATCCGATATATCCTACATACATCACTTGGACACACACATATATACCCACATCTTAGTATTTGGACTATATTCTTGTTTCTAGGGATGCCATATCCTCAAAATTTGGAAACTGCAAAAGAGGTGGAGCGTATTGTAAGAGAGAATGGTGCAGTTCCTGCTACCATTGCAATTTTAGATGGCACGCCATGTGTAGGTATTTATTTTCATCCTTTGCAATGTATCCATTGAATTACTATTTCATATTTTATCATTCATGAGCAAGTTATGAGAAGTATGATGGAGTGCTTGCACTTAACCACTTGTGGATTTTCTTTTTATGTTGTTTTGTTTTGAAATGGGTTCTTGGAATGAAGAGAAGAATCAAAATAGTAAAGAATATTGATTCACAAAACAACGTGAATGGGAAATTGAAACCTCACGTTGTCTAGTACAAACACTGTATCATTCTTCTTATATCAGGTCACTTGCTTTGCAAATGCTATTTGCTCAACAAGTTGAAAAGATCATCTGAAGATTTTGTCATCCCATTTTGACTTTGTTGCTGCAATGATAATGAATATATTTTATTCTATCATTTTGTTTAAATTGGGCATTATATTTTCTTTTGCTTGCTTGTTTTATCTGGATAGGTCTAAGTCTAGACGAACTTGAAAGACTGGCTACTCTGGGAACTAGTGCTCAGAAGACCGCTCGAAGGGACATTGCAAATGTTGTGAGTGTCTTGGCATTGTACATCATATTTATAATTTATGTATATCAATATGGTATGATAGAGCTCCAAGAATTAGTTATTATTTTCAATTCTTTGCGGGAATAGTTTGAGGTTTTCCTAAGAATTCAAAGAAAACTTTGATTAGTTCATTATTAACCCAAAAATCTAAAAAAACTTGTCTGTTTAACTGGACAAAATTTAGATCACAATTTAATGTCTTTTTTCTTGAAATCCTGATTCATAAATTGATTTTCGACAAAGGTCTTTCTACATAAGACAACTATTGCACATTTAATCCCTATCGGCATGTATCTAAACTTTTTAAATTATGCAATTGATATTAAAAGTATACTATATATTTTTTTCATCATCAAAATTATGTGATATTACTGGTCGATTCGAGAGCTTTGCGAGTAAGATATAATGAACTGAGTTTTATCAAATTGCTTTTCTGTACAAAAAGCAATCACAACACAGTACGCCAATCATTTAAGGAAGTGTTTGATATTTGTTTGGAGCATTCTGTTTCGGGCGCTAAACAAATGTAAGAGCAAAGTGCTTCAGGTTAGACAATGGCAAAAGAGGCCAATACATAACTGCAACTATACAAACAACAAACTCCTTTGTTCTACTTTTATCAAAGCAATTACATCCTGGCCCATTGCCACCACCAATGGCATAGATGGATGTGTATATCTCTACATGAATGTCATTAACAACCTTACAAAAAGAAACTAAGGAAACCCATTATAGCCAAAATGTTGTTTAGTCCAATAATTTTAATCAACTCTATGTATATAGCAAGAATTACTCGAAGAATTCAGGGAGGAGATCTGATTTCGGAGGGTGGTTGAGGGAGTGTTCTCAGTGTTGGGAGAAGTAGGCCTACTCTATAGTAGTGACTCCGAAATGCCACTACACTACAAACTCTCGCCCTCCCTGCCTCTGTGATTCCCCTTCCTTTTTATCTGTCTTGCTTGCCCCCGAGGGTGGGCGATATATCTGTCCCAGATTGTGACAGCAATTGCCTGCATCTATAGAAAGAGATGGAGAAGCAGTTTGTAACCTTTTAAGTGAGAAGTTGAAGTCATTTACAAGGAAAATGAGTATAACTTTGGCTGAAGCAACTCAGCCTCAGAGAGGCAGGCAAATGTATATATGCTACTGAAACATGGGAGCAAGAGAACAACTGAGACCATACAATATTCGTCCAGAAGAGAAAGTTGACTTTGGTTTGGGAGTAACAAACTCATCAAAATGGGTTGGGAAGGAGAATAAGTTCTGTTATTTATATTCTTTATGACTATAATCATGGTCAGGGTTTTATACAAGTATACAAGTAGTTTAAAATTGACATCTTCACTGTGTTTGTAAAGACATCCCTTATTTGCTAGATTACTGGTATCAAAATTTTTTTGCAGCCGATGAATACCTATACATATGTGTACATCATTAGTCAGTCTTTGGCCCGTTCTACCTAATCTGCCCATATGGCGAACCAATGACAAGATGGACTAAACTGATTTTTGAAAAATATTTTATATATTAAAATAAAAAAAAAAAATTTAAATATTACATTTTTTTTGGTATTATGTTGTTAGAATAAAGAAATATATTATAATTTAAATCATAAATACTCACAAATTAAGTTTAAACTATTGATTATAATTGAAGACTTTAACAAGTAAATGGAATGATTTTTTCAATGTATCCAATAAAAGTTATTGATTAATGTCTAAAGACTTAGAAAATATATAACATTTTATATACAAAAAACATTAGTTGGCAGGTCATGGACTAAAGTCCGTCCTATCCTCTTTTTAGTGTTAAACTATAGAAAATGTAGTGGTAAAACTGTGTGTTCCCCTCTTGGAGAATTCTCTCATATATATATATATATATATATATATATATATATTTAATACAAACTAATATTCTGCCCCTTTCCCTTTAAATTAGCTAATAGTCATATATACAATTAATACAATTACTCTATTGCAATATATCCTAATAAAAGAGAATAACAGTTACAATTGGTTTTGATGACTAAATAATTTGGCAATAAAAGCTGACAGATTAAGTAATTAACTCCGTTGACATCCCCCCTTAAATTGATTCTGGTAAGCCGACCAGCATCAATTTGTCAACTAGGAAATTATGATGCTGTCGGGTCAAAGATTTGGTGAAGATGTCGGCAAGCTGAATAGAAGTTGAAACATGAGGAAGAGTAATAATTTTGCGATCATAGCCTTCCCGGATGGAGTGACAGTCAACTTCTATGTGCTTTGTGCGTTCATGGTAAACTGGATTTGCTGTAATTTGGATGACACCAGTATTGTCAGTGTGTAATGGTGTCGGTTGTGATGGAGGGAATCCAAGCTCGGTGAGGAGACCATGCAACCAAATTATTTCAAAGCATGCAACAGACATGACACGATACTCAACTTCAGTAGAGGACTTAGAGACAGAATCTTGTTTCTTACATTTCCATGAAATAGGATCACTGCCCAAAAACATACACCAACCAGTAGTAGAACGCCTCGTATCAGGACAGCCAGCCCAATCAGCATAGAGTGATGGGTGAACCAGTTGGAAAAAATAAACCACGATGAGAAGTGCTAAGGAGATAACGAATAATTCGTTTCACTGCGGAAAGGTAGAAATATCTAGGAGATTGCATGAACTTACTGACTGTGTGGATAGCAAAAGAAATATCTGGACGAGTGATGGTGAGGTATATAAGATTACCAACTAGTTTGCGATAAAAGGTAGGATCTTCAAGAAGATTACCTTCATCTCTTCGAAATTTGACATTAAGTTCCATGGGGGTGTCAACAGGAGTGGAATTAGTGAGGTTTGCTAGCACAATCAAATCTTGAATATATTTGTATTGATTTACAAATATGCCAGTATGTGCATAATGCACCTATAAACCCAAGAAGTAATTGAGTCAGCCAAGGTCTTTCATGTGAAAAGTGGAATGCAACAATGTTTGAAGTCGAGAAATAGCCTCTTCATCAGAACCAGTCACCACAATGTCATCCACATAAGCAAGAAGTATGACAAGTCCTTTAGAAGTCCTTTGTAGAAAAAGAGATGATGGATCATGTTGACTTTGGGTGAAGGAGAAACCAAGTAGTGTGGATCGAAACTTTTCAAACCATACTCGTGGTGCCTGTTTCAAACCATATAAAAAGCGTTTTAGTCTACAAACAGTATTAGATGGTGTAGCCATATCAATAGGAAGTGTGATGTAAACTTCCTCCTTGAGGTCTCCATGAAGAAAAGCGTTTTTGACATCAATTTGATGTAAAGGCCAGGATTGAAATGTAGCTAGTGCTAGAATTGTGCGAACAGTGGTCATCTTGGCTACCAATGCGAAGGTTTCATCATAGTCAAGTCCATACTCTTGTTTATTTCCTAGCACAACCAACCGACCTTTGTGACGATCAATTGATCCATCTGAACGTAGTTTAATGGAAAATACAAATTTGTTGCCCAAAGGTTTAATAGAGGGAGGACATGGCACAACATCCTATGTTTGATTTTCTTCAAGTGTTAAGAGTTCTACTTCAATAGCCTTCTGCCAACATTCATACTCCATTGCCTGCTTATAAGATGAAGGAATAGAAACAGAGGATAAAGTTGTTGTTAAGATAAACTATATTTTTCAGGTGGCTTACGAACTCGGGTACTGCGACGTAAAGGTATTGGGTCTGTAGCTGGTACAGGATCAACTACCAAGGAATGATCTTGTGGAGGTCCAATGGTCTTACGTCGTCTTTGATACACTAAGAGAGGTTTGTCTGTAGAATATTTAGAAACCATTGGCAAAACAGAAATTGGAGAAGGAGGAGAGTCATGGTGAGTGGCAAAATAATATTTATTTTCTTGGAAAATGACATTTCTAGAGATACGGATCCTATCAAGATGTAGATCATAACATACAAAACCTTTTTGTTGAGAGGAATAGCCAAGAAAAATACATTCAACAGATTGGGCAGTGAGTTTATGACGTTTGTGGGGAGGAAGATGAACATAACACACACAACCTGGGGAATCAAGGTACGAAGAGTGGAATAATCAGGTAGATGACCAAATAGTCAAGTGAAAGGAGAATCATTGTTTAATGATGGGGATGACAAACGATTGATAAGATGAACTACAGTAGATAGCGCTTCACACCAAAACCTGGAGGGCATAGAAGATTCCAACAAAAAAGTACGAACAACATCTAGTAAATGACGATTTTTCTGTTCAGCTATCCCATTTTGTTGAGGAGTGGAAGGACAAGACCGTTGAGATAAGATACCATTAGATTGCAGAAATTCCTGAAATAAATGAGATGTATACTCCCCACCATTATCAGATCACAGAATTTTAATTTTGGAAGTAAATTGGGTTTGAACATAAGCATGAAAAAATTTGAATGTAGAGAATACTTCATGTTTAGACCGCAAGAAATAGACCCATGTGGAACGACTATAATCGTCAATAAAAGTGACAAAGTATTTGTACTTAGCATGTGAAGGAATTGGGGCTATCCCCCATACATCATTGTGGATCATATAAAAAGGTTTTCCGACAATAGATTTATGTTTTGGAAATGGTAGAATTTTACTTTTGCCAAACTTACAAGAATAGCAATCACAATCAACATGAAAAGGTTGAGAATCTTTATTGCCAAGAAAATCAGATTTAAGCATAGTATGAAGTAGATGTGAATTTGGATGTCCAAGATACTTATGCCACATATGGTAATCTAAATGAGCAGAATTACACGAAATAAAAGGTAAGCCACGACTGGAGGACAAAGGTAAATGAAGTAGAAAAAGACGTCCAACTTTAGGCCCCTTCCCAATCATCGTCCCTGTTGTTGATCCTGCACAAGACAACCAGAGTTTGAGAATTCGACACGACAATTATTATGAACTAATTGACCAATAGAAATGAGATTAGTAGTGAGATCAGGAGAGACCAAGACATCAGTGAGAGAAGAAAAAATATCACCAATATCTGTTATAGGCAAATGATTTCCATTGGTAGTATGAATCATGAGATTTCCAAAATAACATTAGTAAGGAGTTGAGAATTGTTGGTCATATGGTTGGATGCACCAGAATCAAAGTACCAGAGGGAAGACATGGTTTTACTTGAGATGTCCAAAGCAAAAAATGTGGAAATGATCATTTGCTGATTGTTGAACAGAAGCTGTTGTTGATGTAAATATGACCTATGATAAGGGCTAGAGCAAGGAAAATAAAGAAAGCTCTTCAACAAATATTGTTGGTTGACCAAATTATGTTTTGAATTAATCAATTAATGGGCTTTAGTTTGATTTTGTTTTAAGTTATAATAAGGGCCCAATTGAAAATTTAGTCATCAGCCTTTGGGAGTCCAAGGGGTGCATAGCTGATTGACTTTTGGTTGCCACAGTTTCAGATACAATCAGTCATTAAGTAGTTTCAATTCCTAGGTTAACGGATCATTATTAGCCTTTATTTGTTTCCATTAAATAGTTTTCAATTCCTAGATTAATGGGTTATTATTAGTATTTATTTTCTTTTATTGAGTCTTTGTAATTCTGATGGCAATGCTTCTATATCAGCTGAACCATTTTTATCAAGAAATAACAAGTGAAATTTTATTAAGAAATATTAGAGTTTATCTCTTTTATCTTAGTGAGAGTGATTCTCCGAAATTCTTGAGTGATTCAAGAACCCTTGGCTGTATCAGAGGACTTTCGCATCCTTTGTGTGTTGCCTCCCTTGGGAAGAGTGATTCTTTCCTTCCACCTTTTTTCTAATTCCTAAATTTCTTACAAGGTTCTAACCCTAAAGATCTTAAATTACCTCTTGTGATTCATATCATTTGGTATTCAGAGCTCCGGTTTAAGGGTTTAAACATCAAATTGATGGCAGAAGAGGAAAATTACAATCAAGAAGTAGGAATTAGTCCATTTCAAATGAGAGTATTGGTACAACATTTGGAAGGATTAATGATACGACATAACAATGAGCTCCATGAAAGATTGAACCGGTTGGAGAATAGAAATCCTGAAAACGAAGAAGAAAGGAGAAATAGGAGAATGAATGATGGAGTAGCAAGACCAAGTAGGCTTGAAGGAGTCAAGCTTAACATTCCTCCGTTTAAAGGAAAAAGTGATCCGGAAGCATACTTGGAGTGACAGATGAAAATAGAGCATGTTTTCTCATGCAACAATTATGAGGAGACCCAAAAGGTGAGGCTTGCAACAACGGAACTTTCTGACTATGTTCTTATTTGGTGGAACAAGTTACAAAAGGAGAGAGATAGAAATGAAGAGTCAATGGTTGATACATGGACTGAGATGAAAAAGATCATGAGGAAGCGGTATGTGCCGGCTAGTTATGTAAGGGACTTGAAATTTAAACTCCAAAAACTTACTCAAGGTAACAAGGGGGTTGAGGAGTATTTCAAAGAAATGGACATGCTCATGATTCAAGCAAAGATTGAAGAAGATGAAGAGGTAGCTATGGCCCGATTTATTGGTGGTTTGAATATTGATATATGTGATATTGTTGAGTTGCAGGAGTTTGTTGATATGGAGGATTTACTTCATAAAGCAATTCGAGTGGAGCAACACCTCAAAAGAAAAGAAATGACTAAGAAGAGTTCTATCAACTTTGGATTTTCAAGTTGAAAGGACAAAGGTAAGAAAGATGAGACTGTTACTTCTAGTAGTTCCACACCTATTCCTAAAAAGATTCATTCAAAATATGAAGAACAACCCTCTAAAAAAAGTAGAGATGTGAAGTGTTTCAAGTGTCAAGGCTTAGGACACTATGCTTATGAGTGCCCTAACACAAAGATCATGGTTCTTAGAGAGGGAGAATATATAAGTGAATCTGAGGTTGAAGAGGGAGAAAAGAGTGAAGACATTGAGGAGGAGGAGATTCCAAAGGGAGATTTATTGATGATTAGGTGATTACTTGATAGTCAATTGAAACCTATGGAAGAAAGCCAAAGAAAAAATATTTTTCACACTAGATGTTTAATCAATGACAAGGTGTGCATGATGATCATAGATGGAGGTAGTTGCACCAATGTGGCTAGTGCTAGATTAATATCAAAGTTAAATTTAGCTACCAAACCACATCCTATGCCATATAAACTTCAATGGCTTAGTGAGGATAGAGATGTGCAAGTGAGACAACAAGTTGAAGTGGACATTTCCATTGGAAAATACAATGATAAGGTGCTTTGTGATATTATTCCTATGGAAGTCAGTCACTTATTTTTGGGGAGACCATGACAATTTGATAAAAGAGTTAATCATAACGGGTTCACCAACAAGATCTCTTTCATGCACCAAGACAAGAAAATTGTGCTCAAACCTTTGAGTCCATAAGAAGTGTGTGAGGATAAAAAGAAAATGAAAGAAAAACTTCTTCAAGAAAAGAGAGAGAAAGAAAGCGTTAGTGAAACACTTGAGAGGAAAAAAAGTGATAAAAAAAAGAGTGAAACACTTGAAGTGAGGGAGAACTATTTAGCCATAAAAAGTGAGTATAATGTTAATTTTATATTCAATTTGTCAGACTTATCTCTTTTTTATGTAGATGGTGAATTCGATTTGAGGACAAATCCTTTTCAAGAGGGAGAGAATGATGTGAACATGACCTATGATAAGGGCTAGAGCAAGGGAAATAAAGGAAGCTCTTCAACAAATATTGTTGGTTGACCAAATTATGTTTTGAATTAATCAATTAATGGGCTTTAGTTTGATTTTGTTTTAAGTTGTAATAAGGGCCCAATTGAAAATTTAGTCATCAGCCTTTGGGAGACCAAGGGGTGCATAGCTGATTGACTTTTGGTTGCCACAGTTTCAGATACAATCAGTTATTAAGTAGTTTCAATTCTTAGGTTAATGGATCATTGTTAGCCTTTATTTGTTTCCATTAAATAGTTTTCAATTCCTAGATTAGTGGGTTATTATTAGTATTTTTTTTTTATTGAGTCTTTGTAATTCTGATGGCAATGCTTCTATATCAGCTGAACCATTTTTATCAAGAAATAACAAGTGGAATTTTATTCAGAAATATTAGAGTTTATCTCTTTTATCTTAATGAGAGTGATTCTCCGAAATTCTTGAGTGATTCAAGAACCCTTGGCTGTATCAGAGGACTTTCACATCCTTTGTGTGTTACCTCCCTTGGGAAGAGTGATTCTTTCCTTCCACCTTCTTTCTAATTCCTAAATTTCTTACAAGGTTCTAACCCTAAAGATCCTAAATTACTCCTTGTGATTCATATCAGTTGTAGCAGAAGGACTTGGAACCGAAGAACCAATAGAGGCAGTGAAAGCGGTGACAGATTTCCTTGGCGGCCTCGTGGGACAATATTTAAGAATGTGTCCATCTTTTTTGCAGTAATTACAAAATTTGTGAAGACAATTGGAAGCATAATGACCAAATTTCTTGCAATAGAAACATTGTACAACACTAAAGTCACGATTTTGTGACTTTCCTTGTGTTGCATAGGCCACAAGGACTATTGTGAATTTTTGTTGTTCCATGGTTGATTGTGTGAGGAGGCGTTGTTCTTCACAAAACAACTCATTATGACACGCATCCAAACCGGGTACCAGATCTCAATTTCATAAGAAATTGATCTCTTTTAGTGGTTTCATGCACTAATTGGACATAATCAAGATCGGTAGAGGGCAACTTTTCATAAACGATATCCGTGTATTCTGACCAAAGATTCATGAATTGAGAATAAAATTTTGAGATAGACAGACTATCTTGTTGCAGAACCGCAATGTCGTGTTCAAGGTGGAAATGTCGAGCGGTGTTGTTTTGATCGTAAATTTGCTTCAGATAGACCCACATGTCAGCCGCTGTCTTGAAAGGTTGGAGATTGAGAACAATGGTAGAATCAACAAAGCCAATGATCCAGGTCATGACTTGAGCGTCGTGGACTTCCCATTTGGCATGGGCATCCTTCTCGATTTATTTGTTAGGAACCAACGTGCTCCCATCGACATGACCCCAAAGATTTTTTCCTTTGACGAAGATCTCGAATTGAAATGCTCAAGCGGAGTAGTTCTTGCCATTAAGACGGATGAACAAAACTTCATATTTCTCAAAACACATGATACCGATTGGAATCGGAACAAGAAACAAAAGCTAGGGTTCGCGAAACGAAGACGGGATTAGACGAGGATCGTAATCCAATCTGATACCATGTTAAACTATAAAAAATGTATGGGTAAAACTGTGTGTTCCCCTCTTGGAGAATTCTCTCATATATATGTATATATATATATATATATATATATATATATATTTAATACAAACTAATATTCTGCCCCTTTCTCTTTAAATTAGCTAACAACCATATATACAATTAATACAATTACTCTACTGCAATATATCCTAATAAAAGAGAATAACAGTTACAATTGGTTTTGATGACTACATAATTTGGCAATCAAAGCTGGCAGATTACGTAATTAACTCCGTTGATATTTAGTAGGTAAGAGACAGAGCGAATTTATCTGTTTTGCCATCCTAGTTCTTAATATTCAGTAAATATGTTAATGGACTTGATCTGATTATATTTATACACTATATTTAGCTTTGCTCAAGATTTTCAAACTCTTTAGTTAACTCTTAGGAGTTTTTGGTAGAAAAAACAAATTTACTTCTTGTCAAACTCTTTCCTGAGTAAACACCCATAAACTCTTTAAATTTGTGTGAACTCGCACAAACTAGAGTCATGCACTATCATACTTTATTTATCTATGTTTTCAGGTAGCTCGCGGTGGAAATGGTGCTACTACTGTTTCTGCAACAATGTTTTTTGCTTCTATGGTATTTTTTCACATACTACTATTTCATCCTTGGTCCTTGTAACATGCCGTTTTGGTTTCACTGCTTGTATTTTTAAAATTTTCTGTAGGTTGATATTCCCATCTTTGTGACTGGGGGGATTGGAGGAGTCCACCGACATTGGGAACATAGTATGTTAACCTTCTATATCTTACTAATAAAAAGCATTGATTTTTCGTGATGGATGCTGACAAACCTCGTTAATTAGGGGTGACACATTTTGTTCAGTTTCTTGATACTAGAAACTTGATCACTCGTCCAACACACAAAAACAAAGATGAATTCCCTTGTGGTATTCCTCTTCAAAACAGTCCAGGGAAGATAATTCCCCTCCTCACAGGATCTGTTATGAATCCTGTTTACACCAATACTAACCTAAAGAAAAACCACCCTTTACAAACAGACCCTTCCCTTATTTATAGTCTTCCTAACTAAAGATTCTCACCTCTCAACCTCCTAATAACAGCCTGTCCTTCTAACCAACTAATTGCCTATTTTATTCCTTCTAACATACACCTTTAGTTTCCTAACATTACTCTCCCCTACGTTAGCAACCTTGTCCTCAAGGTTGAAGTCCGAAAATTGGTGCTGGATTGTAGTTAAATCTTCCTAGGTGGCTGCCTCCATACCTTTATCTTTCCACTGAATCAGAACCTGAGGTCGTGAGTCTTCATTCCCTGTCAAGGGTCCCATTCTTCTGTCCAAAATCGTCTCTGGAAACCAAATAGAAGCCCTGCCCTGTAACTCCCCTGGAAGATCCTTCTCAACTTGATGTGTACCAACTGCTTTCTTCAATTGGGAAACGTGGAATAATGGGTGGATTCTAGCTGTAGCCGGAAGCTGTAACCCAAAAGCCACTGGCCCTACCTGTCTTAACACCAAAAAAGGGTTGTAGTATCTGGCGGACAGTTTCGGATGCAACTTGGTTGGCATGGACACTTGTCGATGAGGACGTATTTTTAAGAAGACCCAGACTCCCACTTGGATATATGTCTGTTTTCTGTGTTTATTAGCATATATGAGCTCTTGCTAGGTGAAATTTGAGCTGACAAAAGGCTTCATCTCTAGTCATTAGATCTTGTGCGACAGCTTCCACCATAGTCTCCCCTGGAACAAACCTGGTGATGGAAGGGGGCAGTCTGCCATAAACTATCTCAAATAGAGATCTCTTCGCAGCTCCTTGAAAACTGGTATTATACCAGTATTCTGCCCAGGAAAGAAACTGACACCATGTCTTGGGGCTGTTCTGAGCTGAAACATCTCAAATATGTTTCCAAAATTCTGTTGATGACCTCGGTTTGGCCACCAGATTCAGGATGGTAAGTCGTGCTCATATTAAGCTGTGTCCCCTGTAACCTAAACAACTCCTTCCATAAAAGACTTAGGAACATAGGATCCCTGTCGCTAACAATTGAGGCTAGAATCCCATGTAACCTCACTATTTCTTTAGAAAACACTTCCTCTATGCTCCTGGCAGAATATGGGTGTTTAATGGGTATGAGATGCTCATATTTACTCAACCTATCTACCACCACCAAGATCGAATCATACCCATTATACCCAGTATGGGAAGACCCAGACTCCCACTTGGATTTATGTCTTCCCATACTGCATTTGGTATGGGTAAGGATTGTAGCAGTCCTTGTGGAGAGGAGGCAAGGTACTTGTGTTGTTAACACATTTTTATTTACATGCTGCCACAAAATCTGTCACCATTTTCTTCATTCCAATCCAGTAAAGTGATTGTCCTAATCTTCTATACGTCCTAAACACCCTGAAGTGACCCCCTGTAGGTGTGGTGTGATATTCGGCTAGCAATCTTGGAATCCAAACCGATTTGGCTGAAATAACCAATCTTCCCTTATGATGAAGTCGACCATTCTCCATTGTATATTACCCTTGACTCCCAGAGTTGTTGCTCAACCCTTTTGTAATTTTCTGCAATTCTGTATCACCATTAACCTCCTCCAATATTGATTGGAAATCCTGCCAAAAGGGTATCGAGACAACTTGCAACTCTTTTTCTTCATCCTCATTCTCCACCCGGCGAGAGAGGGCATCAGCCACCTTGTTGGATGTTCCCATTTTATATACTATATCAAATTCATACCCCATCAATTTGGCCAACCAATTCTGCTGATTTTGAGTGGTAATTCGCTGTTCTAACAGATATCGCAAACTCTTTTGGTCAGTATACACTGTAAATTTTTGCCCAATAAATATGGTCTCCAATGTTGGATGGCTCGAACTAAAGCCATCAATTCCTTCGCATAAATGGATTTGGTTAATAAAGTGTCTGATAATGCCCTGCTAAAAAATGCTATAGGTCGTTTATTTTGTGATAGCACAACACCCCATCCATTTCCTGATGCATCACAATCTATAGAGAATGGTTGACTAAAATCTGGCAATTCCAAAACAGCTGTTGTGATAGCCTTCTTGAGTCTTTCCATAGCTTGGGTGCTTTCTTCATTCCAGATGAAACTCCCCTTTTTTAATAAACTTGTCAGTGGCTTTGCTATTTTTCCTTAGTCTCGTATAAATCGTCAATAAAACCCCGTAAGGCCCAAGAATCCTCGTAAAGCCTTAATATTTTTTGGCAAAGGCCATTGATGAATTGCTGACAGCTTTTCGGGGTCCATCTCTACCCCTCTTTGCGAGATGACATGACCCAAATACTTTACCTCTTGCCTCCCAAACTCACATATTTTCTTATTCAATGCTTCTGTAAAATTTTCCCAAGAAGGGTTCTTGTTTTTCTTTTTCCAGAAACTGAACCAATGACTAGCGCTGCCCCTCCATACTAATGAATGCTAGTCGTAATTTCTCCTTGGAAGAGATGCTTTGAATATCAAAGAACTTTTCTGCCCTAGCGATCCATCCCATAGGGTCACTGCCTTCAAAAGTTGGCAGTTCCACTCTCTTCATCCAGTGCTTCTGCACTTCTTCATCATCAGACCTTGATTCCTCTTTATTACCCCCCTTTGGTCCCCTCTTTCTATCATTGACAAAATTCTCTCCATTGTCTGACTCTTCTTCCTGTTTCTTGATCATATTTCTGATCTCATGGAGATTCTCTTGCATCTCCAAAATAATCTTCCTATTCTCGCTAGCCCATTTTTCCAAATTAGCAACTTGTCCCTCCATGATCAAACGTCCCTCGGATCCGGCAGGTTGGACCAATTGTTAGGTTTCTTGATACTAGAAACTTGATCACTCGTCCCACACACACAAAAACAAAGATGAATTCCCTCGTGGTATTCCTATTTAAAACTGAAACAGTCCAGGGAAGATAATTCCCCACCTCACAGGATCTGTTATGAATCCTGTTTACACCAATACTAACCAAAAGCAAAACCACCCTTTACAAACAGACCCTTCCCTTATTTATAGTCTTCCTAACTAAAGATTCTCACCTCTCAACCTCCTAATAACAGCCTGTCCTTCTAACCAACTAATTGCCTATTTTATTCCTTCTAACATACACCTTTAGTTTCCTAACACATTTTGTTCTAAATTTTTTAGATCAAAATAAATCAACCAGTGCTTGTTTTACAAATTATTGTTGTCTTTTAGGTTCCTTGAAAGTCCTGTAAGTTGCAACTTAAACAATGAAAAGAGAGAGCTGTGGCACCTGAAAATATTTGGTCTTCACGGAGAAAATGTTGTAACAATTTATTATGACTCAAAATACCTGTTGGAATTTATCATGCTATACAATACCTATAAACATAATCATATTCAATCCTTTTAACTTGGTTTTAAGATACTTTCTGGCAATTAAAGTTCAAAGTTGCTCCTTGGCTGTAAAATATACTGAAGGACTCCACGTTTAGTTCGTATTTACATAGGCTTAAAATGGGAATGTTTATGTTATACTGTCAGCAAAACTTCTCTTTGAATGGATTTATTTAGTCACATCCTGGAAAATATTATTTCTTGTTGCCATCTACAAACATAAGAAATCAATTTTATTTTTTTTCAATTTTTAGATTATTGGGGTTTCTGCAAATAAGTCTGACATTTTTATTGAGCATGTTATTTTTCATATTTTTGGGCAGCTATGGACATATCTTCTGATCTCACTGAGCTAGGCAAAACACCTGTTGCAGTTGTATGTGCTGGTGTAAAATCAATATTAGATATTCCTAGGACGCTTGAATATCTGGTACCCATTTAATTCTGTGTTAATATTACTAAAGCTGCAATCAATTGCAAATTTTATTATTATTATTTTTTATCTTGAATAGGAAACACTAGGTGTATGTGTTGCTGCCTACAAGACTAGTGAGTTTCCTGCATTTTTCACTGAATCAAGTGGGTGCAAGGTATATTAATCGGATTCTCACATGGCTTTCAATCTTCTGTAAATAGCATAATTAAGTGCATTTTTACATATGAATTGACATATTTTCTTTATAGAAAGATTTATAGGAATTGTGTGTTATGAGCACACGCATGATTCTCTATTTATAAGTAATATAATGAAACAAAAGAAATATAAAATTTAATGCCTAAAATTTAGGCTATACAATAATTTCCCTATTTTCTTATTTACAGAATCATGCTAGTCTTCCCCTATCCTTTTGGGACATGCCTTTAGCACCCCAATTTATCTCAAATAGATTACCAATCTCTCATTGTCCTTGCTCCATACTTATCACTTTTTTTTAACAAAACTCCATATTACTCCTTTTTTAACGTGTTTGGTTATGCATAAAATGTCTTTTATGCTATTTATAAAAATTGGTCAGGAATGTATTATTTACATTATATTTCATTTTGTGGTTTTTGGAATTTACCATCTGATTTGTGATTTAATTGATGATTCACTACCATGTTTTCACCATTATTTTGATAGCATTTTATTTGTCACATTGGAACGTAGAGGGCATAATGTAATAAGGAATGAGTTTAATTGACAACATCATATTTGATCATTTGCCAATTTCAGGTATCATGTCGAGTAGATAGCCCCGAAGACTGTGCTTGCTTAATAGGCAAGGAAAACCTTTTTTTTCTTTTTTTGTTGTCAGTTTACATTTTCTCCGTATGATCTATATTAACTTTTTTTCTTTTGGCAGAAGCAAGCTTCAAACTGAAGCTAGGAACTGGAATTTTGATCGCGGTTCCTATTCCTCAAGAACACTCAACTTCTGGACGCATAATTGAATCTGCCATTCAGAAAGCCATTAAAGAAGCCAGGTAAATGTCTTTGTTCTCTCTCTTCTCTATCCATTACGAGTTAATACGTCAGTTGTACAATAAATGGCTTTCTAATGTTTATTTCATACATTTAGTATTGATTTTTCTATAATTAAATTTAATATATTCACTTGTAGGGAAAACAATATAACAGGGAGTGCTGAAACTCCTTTCTTGCTTGCTCGAGTAAATGACCTTACTGGAGGCGCCTCACTTGCTGCAAGTATCCACTTTTCAAGTTCTCGAGCTATATGATAATATGAAATCAATAATTATAAAGGTGTATTTTAATATAAAATTTAGCCTATAGTGTGATTTCAAGCATGTCTAAATTAAATAGTTAGTTATGACCTATCAAACTTTTTTGCGGGACCAGAAATACAATTAATCTTAAATATTTGATCTAGTGTTAAAGTGAATCTTAACAATTTAGATGTTGCTCTTGTGAAGAATAATGCTCTTGTTGGAGCTAAAGTAGCAGTAGCCCTTGCCCAAATAAGAGAAAATGGTCAGAGGTGAGCCTGTACTTTCATGATCTATGTTAGTGTTGAGATATGTCATGTTTTAAAGTTTAACTCATGTTTCTTTTTTGTGTATGTTCCTTAGACTAGGATTAAGGTTTTGGGCTGAGGTCCATATCCTTTCTTTTTTATCCCTTCTTTATAACGTCTTTACACACTATATTGAAACCCTAAATAGTTTTCTCAAGTTGGTACCAGAGCGGGATTTCCTACATTGATTTTCGGTCATTCTGGCCACCTTCAGCCACCCTGGGCTGTCGTTTGATGTCGTTATCGCCGTCCATCGGTGTGGTTTGGACCGAAAAAGTCAGGGATTGGTGTGCCTCAGGGAGCGCAGACTCAACCCTACAAAGTGTGTCTCCATTCACTATTCCACACGTCGTCACGCACAGTTCTCCCGAGTTGTCCCTCGAGGAGAGAGTGTATCATGCGCCGCTATCAAGTAGTGGAAATCAAGTCTGACTAGTCCATTCATCTCGTCTATGCATTTTGAGTCCCGTAGTGCCCTTACTTTTTTGTTTGGAGAACTTTGAGGACTAGGTCCCATGGCTCCCTCTCTTGGTTGGTTCTCCTTCTCTGGTTAACATGTCTTCAACTAGGGTCTTCTCTTTCTCTGCCACTCCTACCATTACTAGTGCAAGACTCTATTAGAAAAATTATTTATCCTGGTATACATATGTTGAAATGTGGTTCCTAGGTCATGGGTAACATGACTATTTGGAAAAGGAAACTAGTTCTATTTCTGCCTCCGAAAGGGCTCAATGGGAGAAAATAGATTTTCAACTCTGTGCAATATTATGGCAATCCGTCAAACCAAAAGTTCTTGAAATCGTGGGGTCATTCAAAACGTGTTTTTCTTTTTGGAAAAAGGCACAAGATATTTTCGCTAATGATATTCAACGTCTCATTGATGCAACCCAAAGGGTGACGTCGTAGACCAACCATGACATGATGTCTCTTATTGCAAAGGCTAGACTATTGTGGAAGAGTTAAATAAGTTTCTAATGGCAAGTATCTTAGAAGAGTTGAATACCAAACCTGAGAAGCTATATATGCCTTTGATTTTGGGGAGTCTGCATCCTCACCTTGATCATGTGTGTGATCAAATCTTAATTAGTGATCAGGTTCCTTCAATGGACAACTTAGTCACAAGTCTTATTTGTGTACCCAACCTTATGAAAGATGAAAGTCAAGTTAAGGTCATTGAAACTTCAACAATGGTTTCTCCTCGCGGACGAAAGGGAGGATGCAACAGTTAGGGAAGACGTGGTGGTAGGAATGTACATCCTTAATGCTACTATTGCAAGAGAATGGGGCACACACAAGAAAATTGTTATTCCTTACACAGTTTTCCTGACAAGACTACTACTACCCATGTTTCTAAATCTAAAAAGTTAGATATAAGGATTTCTAACGAAGAGTATCAAGAATTTTTTAGGTTCAAATCTGAAAAGTTCATAAATCAGGGTCAATCTTCTTTAATATCAAGTGTTTAAACAATATGCATTTCTCAATCTGTGGAAGGTCAAAACCCATGAATTCTTGATTCAGGTGCTTCTAACCATATTTGTGGTAATACTTCCTCATCTTCTTTCATGTCCTATCCCAAAATTCCTTACTTGATTACTGTGGTTAATGAATTCAAAGTGACATCTTAAGGAGTTGGCCAAGTTTCTTTAATTCCTTCACTAAATTTAAACTCTATTGTTTTTATTCTTAATTGTCCTTATAACTTCATTTCTCTAAGTCAATTGATTTTGAATTGTTTTGTTACCTTTTATTCTAATTCTTTTGTTATTTTGAATCAAAACCCTTCATTGTCATATCTTGTTATTCCTAGTCCTAAACTTTTACATGGTCATTTGGGTCACCCAAGTTTATCTAAGTTAAAATTGATGACTCCTAATCTAAAAACTTTCGAGTTTTAGAATGTGAATCTTGTCAATTAGGAAAACATATTAGGTCTACATTTCCTAAATAGTCTGAAACTCGATGTAATTTTCCTTTTTCCAATATTCATTTTGATATTTGGGGACCAAATCATATCTCTTCTTTTGGTTTTTTTGTAACTTTCATTGATGAATTTTTCAAACGTACTTGTCTTTACTTAATATAAGACAGATCTGATCTCTTATCCATCTGTGTCCGTTTTTATTGAGATTAAGAACCAAATTGGGAAGATAATTAAAGTTTTCATAAGTGATAATGCCAAATAATATTTTTCTTTTTTTTTTTATCTTCCCAAGGCATTTTACATCAATCCACTTGTCCTCACACCCCACGAAACAAAATAATATAATGAAAATGAAAAATAAACACCTTCTTAAGACTACACGCTTTCTAATGTTGAATACTAATGTTCCTGTTCATCACTGGGGATATGTAGAGGATACAAAAAAACTACAGAATTTCTCCTATCCCTAAAAACATACAACACGACCTATATATAATTTTGATTTCAACATAAAATTAAAATTAACTAAATAATAAAATTATTAAATTTTGTTTAAAAAATTATTACAATAGGTATTCCATCTCGGGCAATCTACATGTATTTTGTTGCCACTACTAAATAACTCCAAAAAAGCTATTCCAACTATCAAACTTTGAACAACAACTACACAGGCTTTCAATCTGTGGTGGATCTTCTTGGTAACTGAGGGGGGTTGTGGCCTCTCTAAAGTTTTTGTAACTCCCATATAATTTATGATTTTGGCTCCCCAAACTTAATGATCATTTAATATATTTGCTTATATATTTACAATTTTGTTATCTCACCCTTTCATCTTCTTTTACCCTTTTTATATTTATTAATAATATATTATTTGATCTCCTAAAAATCAATGATCAAGATTCGTCACTGTTTTCAACAAAAGCTAGCAGCTTCTGCTACCCAAGTATGGTTAACATTCCTCTCTCAAACTTTGGGTGAATAAAATTGGTTGAACACCCCGAGTTTATATTTTGAGAATGACATAATGTTATGGCCCAAGCTATTGACTGACCCTATGAGTCCAATTGAGCTGAGAGACCAAGAGGAAGCAGCAGGACCATTATCACAAACTAGAGCCAAACGTTATAGAATTGAGTGGTTCAAGAATTATGAGCAGTTTTGATTCTGCAGAGAGTAAGAAGAATCGAGTTGCCTAGAAGCATGGTCTTAGGTCAATTTACAGAGAAAGAGAGTTAAAATGTAATGGATTTTTGTTGGCAACAAGAAGGCAAAAAATAGAAGTTGGCAGTACTCTGTTTTCTTTTTAATCTCTCACTGTTTCTCCTGCTGCAATTTCAAGTGAGTTGTTACAAGTATTTATGGGCAAAATATTTGTCTCTTCAGATGCCAAAAAGTAAATCATGATACCTATTAAATAGGTTTGTTTCCCCATATTTCTTGGTTATGCAACTCGTGCCTAAAACCATTAATACTATTCTAGGAATACCAAACGACTAATTTAAGTTTTACAACAAATCTCCCCCTTAAACTTAAATACTCTTCCCATCTCTCATTCCAATCAACCTTTTACAACTCTCTAGCTGTGTGGTCGGCAGTGACTTGATGAATACGTCCGCGGCTTGAGCTTGGCTTTCAACATGCTCCAGCTCAACCTTTCCTTCTCTGACTTGTTTTCGGATAAAATGAAATCAGATATCGATGTGCTTGCTCCTTCCGTGATTAATCGGATTCTTTGCCAACTCGATTGCCAACTTGTTGTCAACTCGGATTTCAGTCCCTTCGTCTCGAATCACTCCCAAATGCCTTAGTAGATTTGAAAGTCAGACTGCATGACACATACTCCAAGAGGTCGCCATATACTCGGTCTCACAAGTTGACAGAGTTACAATAGGCTACTTCTTTGACAGCCAAGTAAAAGTTGTTTTTCCGAGTAGGAATACATAACCTGAAGTACTTTTTTAGTCATCAACATCACCACACCAATCACTATCCGAGTAACCCATTAGTCGGTAGTCATCTGATTTTGAATAGAAAAGACCAAGTGATAGGGATCCTCAAACATATCTCAGAATTCTCTACAAGGCCTTCCAATATGTGTAGCTTGGATTCTCCATGTATTTGCTCGTTATCCCAACACTCAGCATTAGGTTGGGTCTCGTGCTTGTAAGGTACCTCAGACATCCGATTAAGCTTCGATATTTCCCAGAATCAACTCGTTCTCCTCCATCAAATTTTGAGAGTTTAGTGTCCGATTCCATTGGAGTAGAAACTGGGTTACAGTCCTCCATTTTAAACTTCTTAAAAATTTCAAGCACGGACCTCTCTTGGGATATAAAAATCCCTTCCTCCAACTGCATCACTTTTAGGCCAAGAAAATATTTCATCAGGCCTAAGTTTGTCATTTCGAACTCTTTTTTCATTACCTCCTTGAACTCCTTAATTAGCTTTGTGTTGCTTCCAGTGAATATGAGGTCATCGACATAGAGAGCAACTATCATCATGTCCTTTTCTGATTTCTTTGTGTACAAACCATGCTCGTATGGACATTCCTCATACCCATTTTTCTTGAAATATCCATTAATTCTCTCATTCCAGGCACGAGGAGCCTGCTTCAGCCCGTAGAGGGCTTTTCTCAATCTCAACACCTTCTTCTCATCCCCTCTCTTCATGTACCCGAGTGGTTGCTCGACGTACACCTCCTCCTTCAGCACTCCATTTAGAAATATCGACTTCACATCCATCTGTAGAATCGACCATTGATTCTGAGTAGCTAATGAGATCAGAAGTCGAATTGACTTCATTCTCGTGACAGGAGCAAATACTTCATCATAGTTGATTCCCTCCTTTTGTTTATAGCCTTTCACCACAAGTCGAGTCTTGTAACGTTCAACCTCTCCCTCAACATTCATCTTCTTTTTGTACACCCATTTTACTCCAATGGATCGAGCTCCTTCAGGAAGGTCGGTCAGCTCCCAAGTTTTATTGCATTCAATCGCTCCAATCTCCTCATCCATGGTTGTTCTCCACTTCTCATCTTGGACAAC